TAAAAAACAATAAGTAAAGCTCGAACTCCCTCAGACAATTCCAATTAGTAAATGTCATATAAACATAATCTAACATTATACATAAATATAAGTCTATACATTTATGTTTGTGCAAGTGTGTGTATGCGTGTGTGTGTGTGTGTGTGTGTGTGTGTGTGTGTGTGTGTGTGTGTGTGTGTGTGTGTGTGTGTGAGAGAGAGAGAGAGAGAGAGAGAGAGAAAGAGAGAGAGCGTGTGTGTGTGTGTGTGTGTGTCTGTGCATGTGTGTGAGTGTGTGTAGGCACAATAATTGTTATAAGAAAATGTTCTCTTTTCTTTTAAAAAATGGTTGCCTTCTGGGCTTAGAGCATTTAAACATTTGCCTGTATTACATATTTTTTCACACAGAGAGACAGACTGAGACAGAGAGATACAGAGAAAGAGAAAGGAAGAAAGAAAATGAGACACACACTCATACACACAAACAAACAAACACACATACAAACAAATATACACGCACACACGCACACATGCAAGCAGGAACACAAGCACACACACACGCGCGCGTACACCATATCACTCGACTGCCTTCCCTTGAGATCGAAATGAAATTCTTGTTACTTTATCAAGTGTAGGTAATGGAGTTACATAAAGGTCTACTCGATGTCTTTTTTCTAGGTCAGGTGAGGATTGCCAATCAGAAAGTCGTTTGAGCGGAAATATTACTCAACCAGAGAATATTCATGAGAACGTTAAATACAATCCAGTAATAAATATATATTGCTCCTATTTGTCGATAGGGGCAAATATACATTTTCCGTGATGAGAGTTTGTTTGAAAACCATAACCCGAGACCAAATATAATATTGTATGGTATTTAGTTACGTCCGTATACTAAATATAATAAGAACATCTACAAGTGACGTTATAAGTAACAAAAAAAGGAAAGATATTGTGTTTCAAGGTAAAACGTTAAGAAGAAATCGTCTGAAAAGGAACTCGAAGAACAAGAGATCACGCGACAAGGCACAAGCATAGCAATAAAAAAAATCACCTTTTGGGTACAATTTAAAAAAAAAATCACGTCAAAGGTACAATAAGAGAACAAATTACGTCATAAGGTACAAGACCAACCAACAAAAAAAAAAAAAAAAAGAAATCCCGTAACGGGGTACAAAAACAGCAAGAGATCATACCTCAATATAAACAAAATAATGCAGTTGCGAGCAGCGTAAAAAAAAACTCTACTAAAAAACAAGACACTCAAATTTTTATGAGATGAGAATATATTGACTTAGAAAAAGGACAGTGCCCTAGACCCCGCCCTGGCCTTGTCGCAGTGGGTGGGCAGCAACTGTCCATCTGATCCCGAACATCAGAATTATCTTGTCCTCCAAATCGACCAGTAATGCTAAACTGACCAGAACGTGTACTTAACAGAGACTCTGGCAGCAAGACTGGATTACAAGAATCGGATTACTTGCCTTGTCTTTAACCCTTGATAGAACATGAACTAGTATTTATAATAACCCCAGCGTCTCGCTTCTCATCGGTTTTCTGTATTTACGTTCAGCAAGGACAACTCGAAAAAAAAGTACCTTAATTGTTTGTTGTTGTTAATGTTGTTGCTGTTTGTTTTTTTGTTTGTTGTTGTTGTTGCTGTTGTTGTTGTTGTTGTTGTTGTTGCTGCTGTTTTCATTTAATACAGGTGTTTTACGCTCTCATCGATACATTCCAATGATAAAGGAGGTCGGCTCCGACTCCACGTGTCAAGGCCAGTCTGGCCTGAGAGAGATGTATCATCCTAGTAGAAAGACAATGATACTGGATCAAAATCCCCACCCAAACTGGAATCGAACTAATTTCTTACGTGTGTGACTGCGCAGTGCCTAATGGCTACACAACAGACGCCGGTGAAACGTACCTGAAGACATAAACGTACAAGAAGCCAGCAAAATTGTCCGACTGTAGTTGCCATCTAATTTCGAAGACCCCAGAACGTCTTAAATCCAGATGGTGTCAATGTCAGTGTAAACATTTCCAACTCTTATGTATGTATCGGTAATTTTTGCACACCTTTCAACATCAGTGACATTACCGTCATAATTAGCAGATTATCCATTACTCTCATTAGGTATTCAAGGAAGCTGTCGTGGGCATACCTTTATATGCATCGTGATAAAGTCAGGGGTTCACCAAAATAATAAAATAGAGGAAACGTTAAGCAATTTTTATCGATTGTTTTATTTGTTTGTTGTTGTTGTTTTTTAACTCAACGCATTTAATGCCCACAAGAAAAAAATAATCGTACACATCTGTGCGAGGATTTTCCTGTATAATGTTGATGGAAGGCATTTAAACAATAAATGTAAATTTGCAGTTTCCAAAGACACTCCACCTTTTGGAAGTCACCAAACTTTGACGACTAATTTCTCACTAATTTACCAACAAAACCAAGCGACTTCACCACCCGCAATCGGAAATATCTCGAATTCTTTTCAAGGTAGATAGTTTTTTTTCTTCCAAAGACAGACAAATTTAAATGAACTTGCTTTAAGATGATACCAAAACTCCACATGCCCAAAGATTGACTGGCGCCTAATTCCACCACGTTCTGACAAATAATAATATGCCTAAATATTGATGATCACCTGATTCCAACGTGTCGTAACATAGTTATGTCATGGAGCACGTCGTACGTCAAAACATAGAAATAGTCATTTCGAGCCGTTCTCCATTCTTAACACATTATCTGGCTTATTATTTACGTCATGTGATCTCTTTATCTGTGAACACCCACATGTTGTAGTTGACACGTCAGTCTCGCTGATCTTGTAATCTGTTAGTGAAAGGAAAGATAATAATATCTTCCTTCTTCTGTGTAGGTGTGTGTGTGTGTCTACGTCTTAAGGAAGAGCCTGCGTTATAGAGACAAGAACAATTAGAAACGTAAAGGCACAAAAATAACGTGTGTGATGACGTGAGGGTGAAATGAGGCTTTTCCTTACTTTTCATCCATTTAGCATGCACTCACACACTCACACACAAACACAAACAAACGTACATACAGACACATATACACATACATACACACATACACACATGCATGGACGCGCGGGCATATATACCCACATATACACACACACACACACACACACATACACACACATACACACAAAGATGCCTACATCCCACCAAAAGAAAATGAGGCCATGCTTTAAGGACGTTTTTCAGTGTAGTTGGGAGGTGCTCGGTTGTAGTTTGCTCCTCTATCCTATCAAACATATATCGCCTTTTCTGCTGTCCATTTTTTCTTTGTATGTTAATCTCTAGTAAGGAACCATTCTTATCTTCGCACTTATTTTATGACCTTTTGTGTTTCAAGCTCTACAAAACTCTTATAAAACTTAAGTAATAAAAGAAACTCTTCGCTTCGAGAAGAGGTTGTTGTTGTCGTTTTTATTGTTGTTATTGTTGCTGTTGTTGTTGTTTTTTTAATTTCAGGTGTGGAGATGGGGTTTTACTTCTGAATTTATGGACATTGCACGAACCACACATGGCAAATCCTGTAATTATGTTTATTCGCCAGTGTTGTCAAATACAGGCTTCCTAAAGAAACGAAGATATACGAGTGTTATTTAGAAACAAAACATCGACATCTGTTGTGTAACATTTGGCGCTTCTCTGTCCCACGCTGTAGAAGTGGACATTTCTCGCAGGAATCGAACTCTAATCCTTTTTTTTTCTTTTTGCTACGAACAACATCAAAAAGAAATTTAAAACACAAACACTAGTCGTGGCAAATTCCTCGCTAAAGTTGTCTTTTCAAAGACCTTACTTACTTACTCTCTTCCTATACCGCCACCAGGTACATAAGACGAGGGCAGTCGACGCCACACTTGCCTGCCCTTGGCCACGTTCTCCAATTTTGGCAGATCCAGGGCCTGAGTGATTGCCTCATCCCTTATTGTATCTCTATAGCTTCCAGTTGGTCTTCCTCGTTTTTTTGTTTCAGTTACTTTCAAATACCAGGTCCGATAGGGCAATCTTGTCTTCAGCGTTCTTAGAGCATGTCCCAGATATCTCCATCTTCTCCTTTTTATAGTTGTGTTGATATCTTCAATTCCAGCTCTTTCCAGCACTTCATTATTTGTAATACACTAATTCCATTTTATTAGTAAAATTCTTCGTAAACATTTTGTTTGAAAGCTTTTAAATTTTCGTTGAACTGTTTTGTTTGTTCCATTTCTCTGAACCATACGTCGATACAGCCAAAATGTTGCTATTATATATTTTTAATTTCGTCTTCAATGAAATAAGCTTTGATTTCCACATAGTTTTTAATTTCACAAAAGCGATCCTTGGATTTTAAGTCTTTAAACGGACATATTATATTATTACGCTTGATCACCAGCAGGCCAAAGCCAATAATGCGCTCATTTTGAAACATCATACATAAATAAGAAACTCTAATTAGCATATTTATGTTATTTCATAACACGCATCATGATTTTCGCCTTGTTAACTTGTACATAAAGCACACAGATTTTTTAAACTCCGTATGACTAACCAAAAAATGCTTCTTTTTTTTAAAGTGCCTCAAAAAAGCGCGAATGAACATAACGCGTGTCCACAAAGTGTTAAGCATTGACCTTGTGTGGAGGATCAGAACAATCTGAGAGATGAGAGAGTTGAACTAAACATGGAAACTCGCTCGTGCGTCTTGCGATTGTTTGTTTGTTGGACTTGTGTGTTTAATTGGTTGTTTGTTTTTGCTTTTGGAAGCTTTTTACGACGCTCGCAACTGTATAATGCCCTAAGAGCGCGTGGGACACATTTATCATTTGCTTATTTTTAAAGTTTTTAAAATATAATTCAGTTCTACTTTTATGGAAATAAACAATCTGAGTTAAGCACCCTGTTCTGCCGTTTTTTAATTCATCATTGAGCGCCCGAAGAACATGGGACAATAACGAAAGGTCGGAATTACAATGGATGTAATAGAAAGAATACAATTCTCACCTGTATTTCTCCGAATGTCACAGTTCCCTTCACCTGCCCTGTCATGCTGCAGACGGCTAGGAAAAAAATAACACACGTTTTAGATTCTTAAAAACAGCAACAACACACGGGTTAGGTAATAAGTCTGTGCACTAATATATCAGTTGATTACATCACACAACTGAACGTTATAACATTTATACATAATTAATACACACACACTCACAACTCCCACCCCCTCCCCCACACACACCAACACACACATACACACACACACACACACACACACACACACACACACACACACACACAGAGACACACACACACACACAAGCACAAAAACATGCATGTAATTCTCAAACAATATAGTTAACACAATGTAATATAATATATTTGTCATTACATGTCATAGTTCACTTCACCTGTCCCTTTGACAGATAGAGCAAACGAACATCGCCATGATAACAGTCATCTAGCTCTTAAAGATGTAATTCAAATATAAGAGAAAGCAAAAATGTCAGTTTTAGAAATAAAAAGAAGTGTTTCCACATACTTTGCGTATCAATATCTCAAATACATTGTTAATGAAACTTGAAAAATAAAAGACAAAAATATTACCAACAAGAAAAAATAAAAAAAGCAACGAAATCAGCAATAACAAAAATAACAAAAGCAACAACAACAACAACAACAACAACAACAACAACAACAACAACAACAGCAACAACCACGAAAGCTAGAATATCCTTGTTCTTTTATTGAAGACTAAATTGACACTTACCATTTTTCGTTCCACATCCCTGGATCGCCTCAGCCGAACTTGAAAGCAGAGACAGCAACACACACAGCACAAACGCAAGCCTACATAGGGAAAACGCCATTTTACCTAAAGGTTACCTTCCTAAAGCCAACCAGCTACCAGTTCAGATGAAAGCACACACGCACATGCACACAATTGCGAACTCTCTGCTACACCCACTCGCAGCTGCCAGAACTTGAAAATAGCACAAAAATTCAAGACATAAAATAGAGAAAACTTTTACTTAGCCTAACAAAAACAGCGGCTACAAATCTCGACGAGGAAGAGATTTTAACAAGTTAAACTGTGTTACAGTTCTCGACAAGGCAGAGGTGTCACCAAGTTAAACCGTGTTACATATTATTCTCAGTGCCACAAACACACATATGAAGTAAACCAAGCGACATTCATGGTGTTATTATTATCACTATTATTCGATTCGCTTCAAAAATCAAAGATTTCTGTGGAAGAAATAGTGGTCAAAAAGGAAATGGGGCAGAGGAGAGGGGGTGGGGTTGAAGGATGAGTTTGATCAGGCATGACAAATTCGTCTAAACCAATCCAGTCACCTCTGTGTGGCTATAAATTTTTACCGTTCCGCCTCAGTTTGACAGCGTTCAATTCCCAGGTCTTAAAACTGTCGGTTTATTCTGCAAGCTTTCCCCCTTCTCTGGTCATAAATCCGTCGCATGAATCTCTTCCTTCTCCGTGCTCTGTGATCCTCCTTGTTTTTACTCTCTCACCTTACAGAAATGGGTACCCTTTTTTTGGTTCCTGTTATTATTCTTGCGATTATTGCAAGCGAATGAATGAGCAAGAGAAGAAGGTAGACGCACAGGCTTACACACACACACACACACACACACACACACACACACACACGCACACACACACGCACACACACACACACATACACAAATCCTCACACAGGTACACACGAATAGAATAGATAGAGAAAGAGGGTGAGGCACATAGACACAGATACAAGTTCATATACACAGACTTTGTGTGTGTGTGTGTGTGTGTGTGTG